TAGAGATATCGCTTGACTATAAAACATAGAAGACACATACACACAGACACAAAAGAACGTTTCATAATGGAAGATGCATAATGGTTTGTGAAATTCATGACATTCAAAAGATACAATGTAATATAAAGATGATGCTTATTACTTATAAGCTTGTCTATTTGATATGTAATTCTATATTGCATGTAATAATGCATTCATGATGGTTTGTGAATTGCATTACTTTCAAGAGATATAGTGTAATATAAAGATGATGCTTATTACTATAAGCTTATCTAATTAATATGTAATTCTATATTGCATGCAGTAATATATTTGACATTTGCATACATGCCAATATGTTTTTCTATTTGCGAATATGATCAATGGAGACATCAGTTGCTCTTTTATTTTTATGTCTTTGAACTGGAACCAAAAGTTAAAATAGGTCATCCTTCTTGTCCATCTTGGCTTGGAAGTAGGCACCATCTTGAGAAGGTTGATGTCTGGTTGAAGCTGGTTGTAAATTTTATTTAATTTTTGGTAGAGGCTTCAAAGGGCATATTCCCAGTTCTTCTACCTTGCTCTCTGAATTTTAACATTGAATTAAATATTATTGTTACCAATTACCATGATGATTTTGTGTAACCATTTTTTGATATCTTGATTCGTTATGAACTACTATTTGCCAAGGTATGCATGATAACTTTCAGGAAACACCACATGTTTCATTACCTGGTTTAGACTGCCACCATATTGGACAAAAGATGATATGGATGTTCTTAGCTTCAAAGAAAATCTATGGATCATAATTTTCATCAGTTGCCAAAATAAGGTTTATTGGTTCCTTCTAAGAATGAAGTCATGAACAAACAAAGTTCAGTTTGAAGTTGACATTTTTGTACATGCTTATCTTGAATTACCATGCATCTGATGCTATGTCTACTTAGTTGAGTCTGACAGCATTTCTATATTTACTGCTCTCCACAGTATTGAAGGAGTGTTGTCTGGTAAAATTGTTTTGTTTTTTTTTAAGAACTGATGAAATTTGTTAGTACTTATCCTTCCTCTTCCCTTAACACCCAAACATCATATGTAGACTTTCATTTGTTTTATGTAAAGCAAATTTGCTTCTCATATTTGTTTTCAACTGTTCTCTGTTCAAATCTTACATTATCTGAATAAATTCTGTTTAATGCATATTCACAGTAAAATGCATTTGTTTCTACAACTCTTTTTTTTTTTTTTTCAATTGCAGTGTGACATTATTCCTTCGTTAAAGTTCTTTTGGCTAAGCTTTTATTTACATATGAATTATGGTAGTATGTTGGCATCATTGATGAATGCCATAATGCTCCAAGCATCATTAGAGAAGCTTGGTGTTGAGGTGCGTATGCAGTCTACCTTAATGATGCAAGAGATTGCAGAACCATACATTAGGTGCAAGCTATCCATCATCTTGGAAAAGGAAGAGTCATAATATTTGGTGGGGGCTGGTGCAACCACAGGAAGCCCACTTTTCAGCACAGATGCTGCAGCTTCCTTGAGGGCCTCTGAAAGTATGTTCTCACATGCATCTATATTGTCCCACTTAAGAATGTGGGTCACTATCCACCCCCAAAGTGCAATTTTAGGTGATCTTCTTTTGGGGTAGAACCCACAGATCTGGGTTTGGGCTGTGATTTCTGCCTTTATTTATCCTGATTTGGTATTTCTTTCTTGATCGTGTTTTCTGGAAGACCATTGATCCATGTGACCTTACAACAGTTCATGCAGATGTTGTTCTTAAAGGTACTACTGTAGATTCTATTTACAATTGCCACTCGAGAAACAGCAACGGTAGTGCATTCGAGCACATTTCATTTAGGGAATTGGTTTCTAGAGGCTTTACCGCAATGGACATGACAGCACTAAATATTTGTGAGGAGAACAGCATACCTGGTACGTCGATGCTACTGTATTCTTTGGGACTACAAAATTCTCTCTTGTATTCGTGTTACCGATCTTGTTGCTTTATATGCATTTGCAGTTGTTATTTTCAACTTATCAGAGCCAGGCAATGTTTCAAAGGCACTCTATGGAGACCAGACTGTTATTCTTATCGACCCGTCAGGGAGGATTATCTAATCCCCATTGCCTTTCAGCCAAAGATTTCAGAAGGTAATTATGATTACGGAGTGAATTCCCATCAAATCTTCGAGCAATTATATGCATTCCGAGTGACTTATACCAAAAGCTTGTATTGTCATGGGGTATGTCACCCTGGCGATGAGAAGAACCGCTTGCTCCTTATATCGACGTGATGAAATGGTACAAATCCTCCCTCTACCAGGAACACCTGTAAATTGTAGCTGGTACCATAAATTGCTGGACCATTCGGTTGTTTATTACGTTGTAAATTAATTCAATGCACTGTGCAGAAATGTCAAGAAGATCCCGGAACAAGAGGAAGTGGCAGTATGATCTTTAGTGCTATTACTAACGGATGGATCACAATGATGCTTCCATTTCTTGAATGTATGAAATTTAAAAGGGATCAGCTGCATTTATCACCAAGTAGCAGAGTGGTTATCCACAAGGGGCCTTTTTATGATTATAAAATTTTGCAAATAGCCAATGGAAGGTATGAATTTACTTAAATGATGATTGCTAAAATAATGTTTATTCACTAGTGTATGCTTTTCTTCCAAGAAAAATATTTCAATTAAATTTAGAAATATTTGTTAATTCGGATGAAATGCATTTTAGAGTTGTCCTGATCTCAAGGCAAACTAATCTATGATTAATTCTGAATATATATATGTATAATGTGGGAAGTTGTGAAAAGTTGGCATTTCACAACACCCCACATTATAAATTAGGGAAGGCCTCGGTGCTGTTGCCAATTTACGCTTTTAATTATTGCCTGGCAGCTTTGTTTCCGGTTTTTGTTTTCTCCTCCTCATGCTCTCTTATATTAAAAAGGGTACTGCTTTCCACACTATTTCTCTTGTTTTCTTTTAATTCAAGACATATCTGCACGGAATCTCAACTTGTTTCCAACTTTAATGGTTTATCATACGATCCCCTGTCTGCCTGCAGGGCTTTATCGGAAACCACAGCCAGTGAGAACCGAGGAGAAGCGGACGCAGCGTTTCTTTTCCTTTCTTCTTTTTCTGCTTTGCTTCAGTCACACGGTAGTAGATGCTGTTGCCCCTCTCTCTGTCCAAGCAAATATATAATCTGCGACTCACGTGCGATCAGATGCAAGTTTGTAGGGCGTGTTAACGCCCATTTCTCCCGTCGTTGCCTGGATTTGGCGATCTGACCTATTCCGAGCGAGTCCCACATCACATGGGAAGAACATTTGCCGGTCTCATACGGTCCATGCTCGAGAGTGCTGTGCGTCTTCAGAGGCCTCGGCTGGGACACCCGGGATCGACAGCGACGCCATAGGCTGTGTTGGTGGTCCCCCGGATCACCTGTGCTAGTGTCAAGATGTGGTACGCCTGGTGCCAGGACCCATTACAAGTGGGGTCTCCTCTCCAATCTGTGTACCTCGGAGGTCTTTATTCTCTACATCTGTGCCTGTCTTGTGCTCGACGAAAAGCCAGAGAGAGAGAGAGAGAGAGAGAGAGATGGACCACTTTGGCGCGAAGCGACGGGTAAGCGGAGGTAGCGTGGGGGGGCTCACCGATCCGCTGCTGCCGGCTGCGGGCGGGGATAGAGGAGGGATATGATGTGATCTGCCTCATCCATGGCACCTGCTGCTACGAGGAAGACCGCACCGGACTGTCTCCCCTGACAGTCCATGGTTTTTTCTCTTCCCTCGACCCTTCCGGCCGTCATCAGTCGAACGACGACATCCGAGAGAGACGAAGGCGAGCAAAAGAAGTAGAACAAGAAGGTGATCGGATGAGAGATCAAAAGGTGGACGAACCCGACCGAGAGCGTGATGCGAGTATGTAGAGATTCGCGCACTTGCACTTTTCCTTTAACGACACTCTTATCTGACGAGTCAATTTTTATTTACTGTGGCTAATTAATTATCCATGTTTTTTACTTCATAAATAAATCCAAAACATTAATCTCTTTACCGTAAAGCTTTCTTTTCCGGTGTGTTGTGACTTCATATGTTTAATTTGGAGCAGATACTGCCACATGTATCACGTCGTCATCTCCTACAGCCGGAGTGCGTCGTTCGTGCATGGCATCGCATCGCATCGCATGAGAGCTTGGTTTGAGGTCACGGAGACACTACTTGTGCTGCTGGCTTGCGGCCACGAAGCTGACGCCCACCACCCGTTCGCTCCCCGGCATCCTCGCGTGCGAGAGATCGGAAGACAGAAACAGAGAGGAAAGAGGAGAGAGAAATAGTCTGCATTAAACCCTCTGCTAATTCCGTCTACAGGGGATATAGGTGAAGTCCTCCTCCCACATTTCTCGATCTCTTCTGCCCATCAGGTTCCGAAGAGGAGAGAGCATAGGGATTTGCACCCCCTTCTCACTGGTGATTGATTCCACTAATATAATACGCCTGCGTTTTAGCTTTTACAGCAAAGCAGCAGTTGACCGGAGTAGATTAATCCTCTCCCCCATCCCCACCTATCCACGCACCATTTTCATCTCAATACTCTCTCTCTCTCTTCACTTTCTTGGATGGATTTAGGTGACCTGCCTTGGGTAAAGACACCATTATATTCTCCAAAGTCTTCTAATCTACCAGCAGCTTGTCTTGCATTTGCAACCTACCAGTGTTCGTCATAAATCCTGTGGGAGGAAGTGTGATGGTACGACTGGTTATTTATGGTTGAGCGACTTTGGTGCTCTCCTGCCAAATTCCGGAGACTACTGCGACCACTGACCCCTGAAAAATAAATGCATTAAATCCTCTAACTTTGTTATCACTCCTGTGATTTCCTTTCATTTTTCCTTCTTTTCACTGTTATGTCACACAGTTCATGATCTCGTGAATTATATCTCTTTAATTAGAGAACAAGTGTTTGGGTTTAGAGAGAGAGAGAGAGAGAGAAAGAGAGAGAGAGAGAGAGAGAGAGAGAGTTGGGACAACATGTCCGCTATATTCCTCAGACTCTACTTCTCACAGCGCCAGCTGCAGGAGGTGGCTTTTCTCTCTTTAGTCTCTTACCAACCATGACAGAGACTGGGAGTAGCTTGCGGAGCGCCACAAGTGAAGGCCTTTTGAAAAAGGAGAGTGAGAGGGAAGGTAGAGAGCAGTAAGCGAGCGAGCAAGAAGAGTCCTGCCCTCACAAAAGCCATAAAGGAAACAGCAGTCTATTTTTGTTCTCTCTTCGGCTACTTGGATATATGAATGGAAGGGATGGAGAGCGTTGTCGTGACAGGGTGTGAAGGAGGAAGAGGAGGAGGAGATGGAGCTGGAGGAGGTGGAGGAGGAGGAGGAGTGGAAGCAGGTCACTCTTCTCCGACTTTGTCGCCAACTCCTCCTCAGCTTGTGGCATTTTCCAGCGGGGTTGTTGGCGTGACGGGGATGCCCGTGCTACCGTCGGAAGGGGCCGGCTTGGCCATGGGGATGATGGGGAGCGGCGGCTATGGGGGCAGCAGCGAGGGAGATCTTCCCGCGCCGAAGAAGAGAGGGAGGCCCAGGAAGTACGGATCGGACGGCATGGCCCTGGCGCTGTCGCCGACCTCCGGCTCTGCCTCCCCTTTCTCTCCTGCTTCCTCCGACGCCAAACGGGGTAGAGGGCGGCCACCTGGCTCCGGGAAACGCCAGCTCCTTGCGGCTCTTGGTAAAGTGCCCCCCGACCACCCCACTTCACTCTTCTTCCTCCTCATCTTTGAAGCTGTTCTACCATGCTTACAACCGCATCTCTCTTTCTTCCTATCTCTTCTTTTCGTAGCATATATCTGTTTCAGTCGACGACGGTATAGTGGTAGATAGATCAGAACGAAGGCGTTCCTCAGCTCATATTTGGATTACTCTTCTTGTCATGCTTTACAGGAGAATGGTTTGCGTGCTCAGCCGGTGGGAGTTTTACGCCGCATGTTGTGACCATTGCCACAGGGGAGGTGACTTATTTCTCCTTCATGGGTTTCTTCTTGAGCTAATGCTGAACTGGATCCTACGATCAAACTCGGAACTTTCTGCTGATAGATCTTCTGCTGCAGGATGTCGCTGCTAGAATTCTTTCCTTCTCCCAGAAGGGTCCGCGGGCTATCTGCATACTCTCTGCGAATGGGGCTATCTCCAATGTTACTCTGCGCCAGCCAGGCTCTTCCGGTGGTACCTTGACTTATGAGGTATGCAGATGTCAACAATTGTACCTTTGCCATATTGTTTCAGGTGCATTTTTCCATGCCTGTTCTAAGTTCAGCTACAGAGTTCTTTTTCTTCTAAAGGCGACTCTTTGGATATTAACCATTTTAGTAGGTGCCCTTGTGCACTCCCTGGACTTCTTTTCGTTTGAAGATATTCACATTCGAGCTAACAAATCAATCACATCATTTTCGCTCTTAAAATGTATGATTTAGGGTAGGGGAGGAGGAGAAAAGAGAACAAGGTGCTACTCATCCTTGCACTCGTTGCAAACTACGTGTGGTATATTATATATTTACTTGTGGACTATTTTCATGCACATCCTTGAATCAAATAGTTGAGTAAGGTGAACAATGGAAAAAGATTTCGTGTTTCAACTGAAGTAACGAGGCAAATATCTATATTGTTAGACCATCAAAAGTTGAGTATTATTATTAACAAGTATTTTTCAATATTTATGAGGTAAGCCCATATTTGAAGTTTACGGGGGCCTGTGGTGAAGCTTAAAATACAACCTCGTCGGTTAAAGAGGCCTAATCTTTTTCATGATGTTATGCTGAATTTGTAGAAATTTGTTTGGGTAAACTTTATGGCACAAAATTGATGAATCATTGACTAAAGCATCAAAGCCATTTTTCATTGCCTCCTCAATTTTGTTTAGGAAGTTGTCTGGATGTACATTAATTTTCGAGTTAATTTTCTAATTTCCTTGAACTTAAACAAGTTATCCATTTAATTTTATCTTGCTCATACAAATGTGCAGGGCCGATTTGAGATACTGTCCCTGTCGGGGTCCTTTACAATTTCTGAAACCGGTGGTATGCGGAGTAGAACTGGTGGGATTAGTGTGTCGCTTGCTGGACCTGACGGCCGTGTTATTGGTGGAGGAGTTGCTGGATTATTGCTTGCTGCCAGTCCAATTCAAGTAATTATCATCATCTCATTGTCATTTGAATTTATTCTATTAGTTAGGTCTAACTCGGGTGAACTTATGGCTTGTTATGCACCTGAGAGCTACCTAACATCAAATATGAGGCGTATCGAGTCCTAGTGTTTGTATAACCATCGTCATGCCAATGTCAGTCTGGCACTTGGATGACACTCTAGTATAACTCGCATCAAACTCTGCATTCTAAGCTAGAATATTTGAAAACAGTAAGCATGTCCATACCATTCGAAATCTGAATATACAAGTACTATATTGCTTATTCCTTGAAGACAATATGAACATACAAGCATTGTATTGCTGATACCTTTGGCTGTTCAATACAATATGAACATAAAAAGTTTTGAAGAAGGCCATATTTGCATATCTTTTATGTTTTGCTGACTGTATATGGATTATATTTTTGACAATGCAGGGATACATCAGTAAGTTCAGAAGTTTTGTAAGACACATGAAACCTGATGCTATTAGTAAACCATTTCATGTTATGAACATGGAACAACAGCTGAACTCAGCGTTGTCAACTTTGCTCGTTCTATAACATATACCAACTGCCAATATAAGGAAGAAAAAATAAAAATGATCTTGCTGAAGTTCTCAAATAAGAATCACCAAATATCGTTGACAGACAAGACAGTAAGTGCATGGTCCCTGACCATGCTTCAGATTTGGTGGCCTACGGATGGGGTAATTGTCCAATATCTGACTCATTTTATTTTTGAGATTCAGCTTGAATTTCATAGTGAAGTGTCTGATCGTGACAAAAGAGAAGAATTTATCATCAATTATTAAGAAAACCACAACTGTATAGCCTTCTTACGTACTTCGCTTCTTTTGTGTTCAATAAAGCTATATACTGTAAAGTGCTTTTCCATCGTATACAAACCTAGTATCTACTCTTTTCCCTAGTGCTAGTTTTTCTCTCAAGTTTTTTTATCATTTTTTTCAAGAAAAGAGAAAAGGCTTCAACACTTTTTCTTATAAGTTTATGAGTTGATGGTCATATGGATTGAAATGTCATATAGATAGTTTAGTCTTATTTTGCATTTAGCTGTTCTCCTTTTGCTTATCAGTTTGACACAAGGAATATGTACTGGACATATTGGCTCAGTTGGACTTCGATTTTATACTCAAACTTGCATTCAGACCTCATTCTTCTGCCATAAAATGGGGATATCATTCGAGGTGAATGACCTATTTTGATTTTCAACACTGCATCGTATGGTTTGAGTGGATGATATTTATGGTCTAACAGCCTACTGGATTGCAGACTATGGTATACCAGATGGTACACTGGGCATAGGACCAGTATCATCCGGTATACGGATTGTACCACCCGGTGCACCTGGTTCAAGGCCTCTACAGGCAGTAAATTTTTTTTCAGCTTTTTTCACACTTGTTTGAAACTTGATATGTCGCGATGTTTTGGCACATGGTATACTGGTATGGCTTGATCTTGTACTAATCTAGGCCAGGACCGATATGGATCCGGTATCTGAAATTAAAAGCCTTACCATTTTCTAGAGACCAGGGTTTCATGCATTAAAATATCACTGAACAAAAAGGAACCGAGTTACTCAACTATTTGTCTTTTTTTCTCATCCTTGTTGTTTATTTTTGTTAGATTTGGCTATTTGTCTGAGTTAGAACAATGACAACAGCTTTATACACAGCTGGATATCTAAAAACTAGTAGTTTATTTTGGTGCTGGAAAATTTATCATTTGAAGCAGTCTCTTTAATATTGCATTACCAGGTGGTGGTTGGAAGCTTCATGCCGAACGTATACAAGGAGAAACAAGCAAAACCAACTCATCAAGCACAACCTTCAGCACTTCCAGGAACTACTGGTTTATTGACAGCTGCAATGCCTATTTCTCAAGCAAACCCCGAAGAAGACTGCGAGACCCCAACCTCATCATCCTTGGCCAGACAAACCCATGCCGAAAATAGCCTGTGCGGCCCCAATCCAAACTCTACTTGGCATGGTCTACAGTCATCAGAACACAAGCCTTCTCCTGATATTAACATATGCTTACAGGGAGAATAGCATCAAGGTATTCACTCGTCTTTACACCCTAACACTATCATACTCTTCTAACATGTTCAGCAAGATTTCTGCTAGATGTCAGGTTAGTGGATAGCCTAGGAGTCATTGTGCACCTGATTTGATGAATGATCAAATGGTATCCTATTATCGGTTGGTCTTTTTATTGTCACCTTAGTCGTCATTAATGTCGTCGTCGTCATCGTCATCGATCATTGTTTCTTTGTGTTCTTGTGGAAGAAGCTCGAGGAGCCTGAATCTGTGCAAGGATTTTTTTTGGTGACCAAGGTTTCTGTATGATTCATGATAACTGCTAATGTTTTGAGTCAACTTGATTCTGTGGTTATTCTGTGAGTTCTTTATGCTATCTTCTTTGCCATTCATCACATCGAACCTTCCAAGTTTGGCTCATTGCAGAGCACCATATTTGGCTTCACCATTGCCACAATGTTCCTCAGTTCATGTAGCGAGATGCGAGAGAATTGGGATCGTTAATATACTGCAGGAACAAAATAATACAAAGCAACTGCTTACCTTCAATCTATCAACTTATTCCTTTTTTTCTCAATCAGAATCTTTCAAACAAGGAATACATCCTACAGAAATCAAACCATCACCATTTCATCTAGAAGAAACGGCTTATTCTGAATGCACACAATCCTCATCAGACTACCCAGTTTTCTCCCTACCCGTTCATCTTCCTCTTTCATCTTCCTGTATTTATTAGGTTTCTATAGACCACCACACAGGTACTCGCTTGACTGTATATTCACACGAGCATCCTAGTGTTCTTCCCCTGCTGAGAAATAATGGTTTCTTTCAAGCAGCGGCATTTCAACGAACACCTGAGGCTGCTCTAACTTACGAAGCTGATCGAGGTAGAAGATGAAGTCGTGCGAAGCCTTTGGCAACACATGCACACTGCGGCTGCTCAGGTGCTGGGAACGAATGTGCCGACGTAACCAAAACCCACGATGAAGAAAGCCATTGCTTGGAGGAAGAGGTATATGAAGAAATGGCTGTTCCCGAAGGCCACATCGTAACACCCACAGACGAAGAGGTAAGCTCCCGTCCACAGCTCCAGCAGATGCAATCTGGTTTCGACATGAGATCGATCTACATGAGCACAAGTCACAGTACGATTCCACATCCAAAGCACACAAGTCTATGCACCTGTCACCGATCCTGATTCGTAGCTTCCTCGCCGCCTTGGCAGCCATTTTGGGCTTCTTGGTATCCCCCAGCTTCTCGGTGACCACCCACTCGTTCACTCTCCCTGCTTCCAACAAGCCAATAAAGGTGGCTTTCGTCCTGTGCAGAGACATGACGTTCTCGAAGAGGATCCAAAACACAAGCAAGTGAAGAGACCTGTCACCGCACAAAGCAGCTTTAGAGAAGGGTAAATGGCGGAGAACTCGCGAGCAGATCGATTCATACCGTGGGGTTCCGACAGCATTGAGAAGGGTAATGATGGAAGGGATGTAGACTGCACCCCACTTGGGTATCTCTACCTCGGGAACCAACACCGTCGCAGGGATAACGATGCAGTAGAATACAAAGGTCACGATGTGAGCTACCACCTTCCGAACGAAGAAGAAGCTGTAGATCACATGAACCTTCTTCCACAGACCTACTTTCTGCATCGTGACAGAAAAAATGAGCGCAGAAAGCTATTTCTGCATCATCTTCATGTTCTTCTATATAGTGAACTGACCTTGTTGTTCTTGATTTCCATCACCATTTTCCTGAATAGGTTTGCTGGGCCACAAGACCACCTGTGTTGCTGATAGCGGTATGCCTTGAATGTACTCGGCAGCTCATTCTTAACCTGTAGATTCAGTGAAGCGAGCAGTCATCAAGTGATCCTTTTCCTATGCCAACAAGAACAAGACAGATCAGTAGTGCCGCAAGTAAATTGCCTTGAGATCTCCAAGGAACACGAACTTCCAGCCCTTGAGGCTTGCTCGAACGGCCAAATCCATGTCCTCTACCGTGGTTCGGTCCTTCCAACCTCCAGCTTCGTTGAGAGCGGCAATCCGCCACACTCCGGCAGTTCCTGCACAACCACGGGCCAAGTATATCATCTTATTACCCCCTTTCTTTCCTTCATGTTCATATGAGAACAGAGGAGGGGAGGGAAGTTCACCATTGAAGCCGAAAAAGGCGTATGTGGAGGATCCAACTTCCTGCTCCACTGTGAAGTGGTAATCAAGTGACATCTCCTGCATCCTCGTCATCAAGCATTCATCCGAATTCACTGCAAATGCACGTAGAATCAGCACAAAATGCATTGAGGGTGCTCCATCGGCAAAGCAATCGACCAGGTCAACCTATGAACTTGGAAGGTCTTCCTTGAGTCAAAAACCATGCAGCCATGCAAGCGAGATGGTGCTACCTTGTTCATAAATCGATGCGGTTGGGTTATAAAAGTTGAGGCCCCATTGTTGAGTAGCACAATTAAGTGAAACATGGATGGAAGTGTCGGCGGAAGATGGAAATAGATCTGGGGCAGAGGAATGGCTGTGGAGGTCCACTGTCAGACATGCATCATCTTGGGAGATGGTAGCATCAGAGGAATCAATGCACATGGGATGTCAGATGACTATGGCCAAGAACAAGACTTTGGGTTTTTGCTACTTGCTTGAGCAGGTAAGCTCGGCTGCTGTTGTTCTGTTTTCTCTATGATGACACCATGCATGGGATGCAGCACTTGGAACTTTGCTCTGTATTGCTCTCTACCCAAAGTAATACATAGGAAGACCACAAGCTTTGTCCTCTTCTCAGGGCACGTGATGTTCCGAGAGACAAAGCTGTCACTTTGTTGGCTGTAGGAGAACAAGCCTTGGAGGACCGCCCTCCTCCGCTGTCTCCATATGAGCTTTGGATTCAGATTTGGGTCCTCTGTTACCTCACATGAGGATGAGGAAACAAAAGATAAACAGAGAGAGGGATGAGGTTTAACGAATCCAAAAGTACATTCACTTTCCCAAGCCAAAGATCGGAGAAAGGATAGGAAGAGGGTGACGGAGACAGTCGAACGTGAACGCCATTATAGCACAGACCTGCACTAATCATGAGGCCCGGGGAAGCCATGAGAAATGGTTGTACTATGGCACGACGCTGCAACATCTTTAACCCCAGCGAGACGTGGAGGAAAGCAAAAAAGAGAATTGCGGAGGGCATGAAACATGGTGGATGAGAGAAGGTGGCGAGTCAAGAAGAAGAACAGCCACCGACACCCGAAACCTATGGTTCTTAGTCCAGCTAACCCTGGAACTGCAGTCAAAGTTAGTGGACCAGATGGCAGACGACGTAAAGAAGCAATGGTCCACCACCACCAGAATCACAGTCGATCCATCCAATCCATGTGCTCCACTCGGAGATCGAGGATGGTCATGGATCAGAATCGGAAGAAAGAGAAATCTATGGAAAGTCAATTAGCTTGGCAGAGGAGAAGATACCAAATTTCCATCGGGCTTGGACGAGGCCGACGTCGGGGTTGTGGATGAGGAAGGGGATGGCGCGCCAGAGGAAGTCGGGCTCGGGCTGGAAGTCGGCGTCGAAGATGACGACGTAGTCGCAGTGCTTCACGTAGCTCCGCTTCATGCCCTCCTTGAGCGCCCCGGCCTTGTAGCCGTTCCGGTTGTCCCTGATCTCGTACTTGATGTCCACGCCCTTGCTCGCCCACCGCTGGCACTCCAACTCCACCAAATCCTGCGTTGTACAACCACCTTCAATCATCCAACACATAATCCTCGCCACCAACCCATGCTTTTGCTAAGTACACCCCAATCATCCCATAAGGGATCCACTGATGGTGACACTAAAGAAGATGGATGGACAGTGGACTGCATCAAGTTTTTGTTGCTCTAATCCAACCCCGTGAAGCACTGTAAATGTCTGCATCGACTGTGTTTACCTTAATGACTGGGTCTGTGGAATCGTCTAGCACTTGGATTATGATTCGATCCGATGGCCAAGAGAGGCCACATGCAGCTCCGATGGAGAGCTGGTAGACCTGCAAAGTCGCATTTGAGTTCCCGAACAACGTAGGAGCAGAGAACCAAGCGCACATTGTGGAGAGGAAGAGGCACCTCCTTTTCGTTGTACATGGGGATTTGGACGAGGACCATGGGGTAGGCTGAGCTGCCGACCTCCAGGTCGTCGCGCATGGGTTCCCACTTGTAGCGCTTCTCGGGCCGTCTGCCGAGGAGCTTGACGAGAACGATGACGACGGCCATGTACACCTTCTCGACGACGAGCATCACGGACATCACCAAGCAGAGGAACACAGCGAGCCGCAGAAGGGGCACGATCACCGGCGCCTTGATCTGCTGCCACACCATCCCCATCTGCCCCCCGATGTCGTCCCTCGTCCCCTGGAACGACTCCGGGAGCCGGGCCGTCGAAGTAAGCCTGTCCATCTCTCCCCAGCCAGAAACAGAGGAAAGCTGGGAAAGAAAGCAGCACTTGGGGAACAACCAGTCGCTCTGGAGGCAATTTAAAGGGCGGATCTCTTCCTCTTCTTTAAGTAGAAGCTCGTTGTCTTGCTAACTATTAATCGTCAGAGATTTGCTGCAACTGTTGCTGAGGAATTACGCCAAGACAATGCGGTGGAGCCGACTGTCGCCAGATCTCTCTTTCTTCCCAACACACGGATTCGAGACAACGAACAGCAGGCAGAGTGCAAGAAGCGATCGACAGAACAGCTAAGGCGACATGTAGCTTTCTTTTAGGTCTCTGTCTCCCCTCCAAAACCTAACCCCAACAACAACAGATATGTAGAAGCAGAACTACGAACGCAGGTGAAAGAAAGGATCCGCTCTCTTCCCCTGCTCCTTTCCAAAACTCCGACGACAGACGATATCAAACAGAAAGAACGTAACAAGCAGGAGAAAAAAAGATGATTGACGGTGTTGCTTATACTTTTCGGCTACTGGAATCTGCCACGCATTTTACGTCCGCATGCTCTTCCTTCCCTCCTGCTATCCTAACGTGAGAGTTCCAAGAAGGAAAGGAAGGCCACGGGAAGAGGAGGAGGAAGCCCCAACTGTGAGGTCCTAACCACACTCCTTAAATAAACACCTTAAACAAAAAAGAAAGAACAGAGACAAAGACTGGTGAATTAATGTTGGGTGAAGGTTACAGAGACCCAAACAAGAAGAGCAAGAAATAGAGTTCCAGGCGCAAATGCAGGCTGTCGTCTGCTTCCTTCCCCCACGTATAATAATACTCTCTACTGCTAAATTCGCTTTGGACTGCTAAAATCCCAACCGAAGCCTCCTGCACTCGCTCTTTGTCTCTTTCTACCTCTCCTCCTTGGATAGGAGCACCGTCACTCGCAATGTTGGCGGAGTGAGTGACTCCCAGCATCTACTGCGCTCTCGATGCATCAATATCCGTGCTGGATTTCACCGAGACGACGACCGACCACGTACTCCTCCTGCTCCGTCTCCCACGCACCTCACACGTGTGACTCATGCATCCCCCTGCGGCAGAGTGTTTGGAGCGGCAATGCGGGCTTCCCTGCTCGTTTAGGGTTTGGCCCCACAGTGCACGAGATCTTGTCTCGCTTATTTGCAGAAAAGAATGCGGGAGATGCGAGGTTTCGCTGGTGCAACGTTGACGACGGAACACATCAAACTAGGGTTCATCGTCACGATGGTGAACAGCGGAAGAAGGCAACCACGTGCATCAATGTTCGGAGCGCAACCGAGATGAGCTGGCGGTGCAAGAAAGCATGCACGATAGCATCGCAGTTACCAACATTCGAGTCAGTCATACGTAGCGAGGAATCCAACATGCATGTGATCGGCCTCCTTCCTGTCGCCGATATCACCTCCATAGATTACTGTTCTCTATTCAAGATTCGATCTAACTCAAACTAAAGAAAAGTTCCCATGACGAATAATCTTTGCCATGCGATGGCATCACGACAATAGCGAGTTGATGTATCAATAATTCGCTATTAAATCCTGTCAGATCGATAAGTTGAATCCGCATGTCAGATGATATTGATGGTTTTTGGATCACCAACCTCTTTTAAATTTGAGTCCCATTGCCACCGAATTATAGTAAAAAGTAAGAGCGGAGGAGACTGTGTTATTCCTGTTTCATTTCTGCATTTAGACTCGACAAACCACATGCATGTAACGTGATATACCCATGCAACTACGTCAAGTTGCGGGTGCATTCGTCATCCACACTGCATTCAATGGCAATGTCTGCAAGTTGGAGTTTGATCTGCTGCAGAGGTGTGGATTCCAGGCTTGCAGAAGAGTCGAGCAGTGTGATCAATCATCGTGGTGTGTTGCATGCCACAACGCGAAGACCTACTTCGTCGGCAGCGAGCGACTCGTGCTCCAGAACGAACAGGCTTCTTCGTTCCAGATCCGCATCCAATAATTGAAGACGGATGCAGCGAGAACATGTGGATCTATAGAGGCACGAGCTCCGTGCGATTGGTATTCATTGTATGAACAGTGTCTCTTTGGGTTGTCACTCGGCCGAGCAGCTGCCGACGTGTGCGTCCCGCCCAAAGTCCTTATCAATGGCAGTCGCATTTAGGACGCCGGTTAGGTCGAAAGCACATGCGAACCCTCGCGACTCCTTCCCTGCCGTCTCCATCACCGTAGAAGCTGGAAACTCCTTCCCTGCAGTTTTGTTTCCCACGCTTCCAGTGACCGAAACATAGCATCCAGCTCGACCACAAGAGCCAGCAGCCGACGTGATCTATGGAGGAGACATCATGGAGTGGGAGATGGCCTTGGAAAGTACACATGGGTCAGGGTTTGATGGTGTCGGTGCGTCTTTGGAAAAAGGAAGACAAGTATTACTCCATGCTTTCTTCTCTGGTCGGATCAACCAAACCGATCACGGAACGATGACGGAATGTAGGAAACCATATCGCAGAAGTGCCACATGAATGATACAGCTCAACTCGATCGAATGCACCTAAGCTTCTCTACGCACTAACGCAAGCCTCTTTTTTCCATGATAATAACGAGGATAAAATTAAGCTAAAAGCACGTCAAATGCGTAGGGATTTGATCTTATTGTCGTATACAGTTTCCGATTGTGACTAATTAGTTGATCGAGCTCATCAAATCGGTCTCGTTTCGTGTTGTGGCGTCAATTAAGTGTGGCATTCCATCCATTTCTGTACTCCTTTACATTGCATCACATTCCGTGCTTCCTAAGAAAACAGATTCCGTGGCGCAATCCCTTTATAATAGTACGAGGATGGTGGTGCACCTATTCGTAGAGAATCACTCGGTTTGTGGGCCCCGGAAGGGACCCGCTGGGCCCCCACTGCCGATGCCCACTGACTTGGAACGACGAGGCCATGATTGGGTTTCCCCTTCCATTGTGCTTTGAGAACCGTGCTGATCAATCACGAGTTTTCTTCAATCATGAGGCAGTTGAAGCAGGTGGGCTGGGCAACTCGCCCGGCCCACATGTGATCCAAATAGCCCATCAAAAATGGATTTAATTGTGCGTAAAGCATGGTTAATTATGCCCAAAATAATGGATTTTAGGTACCTCCTAACCTAACTAAGCTGCGTTAATATTTAGTTATCGCATGAACGTAGCAAAGTTACCAATTGCATGTAACTATGGTCATATTAATAATGGTAATTACTGTGACGTTTCCCTTCTTGGAAAATAATTTGAAAGGTGGCGGACAACAATAATTTGTTGAAAATGTAGATGGTATAATGCAATGTCAAACTGGAAGTATATTAGTCATCGTCACTTATCTTTCTCTCTGTCTCACGAGTCCTAACTCTCGATCTCATTTCGCTCTCGTTGGCGACTATTCTAATCCACAGGATGTGGTTGCTGTCGGCCATGGCCGACCAGCGAGGGTGGCTGATAAGTGGGACCCGTAAACCGTCGGTGTAACGTGGTGGGACCCACGCATGGCGACCCTAAACACTGGACCACCTGATCACATCTCTTGACCCACGTCGAGGGTGGCGTCTCCCGGCGTGATTGATCTGTGGTTCCCGCGTCTCCACGACTGACGATGAGATTTAGTAGTGACTGGGCCCACCTAAACGGCAGAACACACGAGATTCGAGCTAAAATTACGCGTCATAGTCGCCGATGTACGCAGCAGTATAATAATATTTGGATATTTGGATGGAGTAATTATATTAATGGCATTACAATATGTACATACGCATACGATGCACAAATAGTATATCTTGCTGCATGATCGGAAGTGCACACAGGCACGATTGCGCTTTGTTTTAGGTCGGCCTGAGACAAAGCACCACCCAATAATTGCAACAACGACGATCATAGTCACAGTAGAAGATCACCGAACGAACAGACCACAAAGGAGTAGATGATGCAGAACGCCAGCTACAGCAAGCAATCCATGAAACTTAACCAGGAGATGCCGATCTTTGAGGCCTTCTCAGCTTGCTTCGAGCAAGGACCAGATGACGAGGAAGAGGTTGAAGCTGCTGCTTCGGTCTGGGGATTGAGGCAGAGGAAGAAGTTTCTCGAGCCCAAGTCAACCAGCTTTTCCTTCGGATCCAGACCTGATGGGAATCGCCGACATCATCAGATGATAGACGGAGGAGGACAGGAAGAGTTGGGTGTTCGGTGACGGTCTTTGCTTACTTTCAAGGCTGAATTGGGAGTAGTGGAGGCCGAAGGCGGAGGGCTCCGGCGTGGGCAGCGGCGGCCGCCTCCCCTCCTTGACGTAGAGCCGCAGCGCCGCGGCCACCAGGTCCCCGACGCTCCAATCCGTGGATGCCATCACCTGCACCGGCCCCAGGCTCCGCTGCACCGTCACATTGACCAGCACCTTGGTCGGCACCTTCCGCTCCACCTCATCCGGCAACTTTCCTGCGGCTGCTGCCGCTGCCGCTCCACCTCTCCTAGCCCCGCGGGGGAGCAGGTTGGGCTGGGTCTTGGGTCGCCGAATCTGGTGGTGCTCCTGCGGGAAGGCCGTCGTCGTTCGCCCGTGGAAGGAGGCGGAGCGCTCGGGAGGGTGCTTCCTGACCCCCACGCTCCGCTCTTGCTGGCCGCTGCGGAGGTTCCTGGGCTGCGAGGAGGAACACATGGCGGCAGTGGAAGTGGACGGCGAAGGATTCGGAGCCATCGGCGCAGGGCCGAGTCGTCCCTCCTCCCCACACTTAGCTTCCACGCTTCTGCTTGCTTTATATGATGCGCGGAAGCAAAGCGTTCGAGCCAACAAAACTCACCAATCAACGAGGAAGGAAGGTAGGAAGGGACAACTCCACCATGGAAGGGAAAAGAAACGTGAGTTGATGGTGTAATTGTTCTCGAGATATCCCGTATATACGTCCATCCATAATTCTCGAGAACATGAATCGGAGAAGGGAGATCGACAATGATTGGAGACCACTGATGATTGGGATTCTTATACACACGATAAAAGACACGGAGCGGACGTGGTGGTGAAGCCCACCACACACACCGTCGGTTCCTTCCAAGAAATGCATCTCTGGGTTGGCCAACGGGTGCATGTCACCTCCCCTCGTCGGCCATCCACTGTGAAGCTCCCGCGACCGGGGGAGGCTGCAACTGATGCCTCATCCTGTCTATAATAATTGGTGAGAGTTCCAAGCGAACAAAGGAAGCAAGGATGGCCAAACTCTATGGAGACCACAAAAGTCGAGTTGGATGGAGCCGAGAGATACGCGGAGATGTGAATGACGGGAGCATGTGGGACGCGTGGAGATTCCCGATCGTTGTCGCGGCGGGGACGACGAGAGGGGAGGCGGAGGCCCATGTCGCCCAGATATTAACTTGAAGCGCACGCGAATCACATGTGCCGTGCCGGCTCGAGCTAATTGCTAGCAATCCAACATTATTCTTAGATTCTCAACTGCCATGCTCTTCAATTCCGTAAATTCTAACTTATATTATCGCTAAACACGAGTTACATTTAGCTAATTCGCAAATTAACTATGTCATCATATCCCAATCATGGCCCAAAAAGGTTATATTAGCTTAGTGAAGCCCAATTGGACCGGGTTTGGTGAGCTTTTTCTGATGGACCGGGTTCAAGGTGGATTTGACACAGCCGTGGGCTCTCATCATCAACTCATTTCACTTGCGGCCACCGCAACATGCATGCATGAGAGAGAGAGAGAGAGAGAGAGAGAGAGTTGTCGGCAGCGATCGCCTCGAGTACATGAAGAATCCATGGAGAGCACAGAGGATGATTCCCAGGCGACACAGTTGGGTGGTGGGTGTCTTGCCTTCGAGCCTTATTCTTTGGATTTATATGTATAATATGGTACCATAATAAATATTTTTGATTGAAACATTATGAGTTCTAAAAAGGTAAGATAATTTGCATAAGTATTAAGAACTTTGATTGAAATATTATGAGTTCTAAACCAATGAACACTTTGTATATGAGGCAGTCTTTATTGAGTTGTAAGAAAATTTGCATAAGTATTAAGAACTTTTGTCAAGCACATATCTAACATAGTTTTTGCATAATAATATGTTGATATACTCATCTTCTTGACACTCACTATACATAAGCCCCAAAACTACATTTGGTTTGGATTCGAATCGCATAACCTTTCGAACAATTAGAATATAAAGTAACACTAGACTTTATGATTTCAAACACTCAAACAAAAGCAAGACAAGAGAGACATTTGGTCATCTCATTGAATTGGATTGTGAAAATGGAATAAGCTGAGCTACTTGCCAAATCAAGATGAATACGATTGTTGTTATTATAATACGATTGCGTAGATTATGTTGCTGTTGATTTGGTAATAGGAGGAGGTATAATCTAATTTATTACATGCTGTGTCGATCGGCATAATATGCTGATGTTTCGTCCTTTGATAGGTATATTCTCTGGCACGTGTTTTATTGCCAAAAGTGAACTTTCTTGTCCACAACGTACATCGATCCGACTTCTAGAAAAAAGAACTAATGTACGAATCTTCCGTCTATACAGAACCTTTGAATCTAATAATAATATTATTATTATTAAATAATAAATAATATGAGTATTCTAAGAAATATGTTCCCATCACAAAGGAATCTCTAAAACTGTATAAATATTGATATTTTTTAAATCACATATTGGTACAATTCTCATGCATTAAAAAGTTTATCATGTCATAAGTAGTACATCGTGTTATCATTAGTTTGACATATATTTAATGATCTTATTGGGTCGATATCTTAGTTGAGTGATTCACACGATTAACATAATGATATAACTATAATGGTCATTCGATATCAATGATTATCAAGTCTTTATAATAACCCATAGCATTATAGGAACTTTTGTCCTTCTCCGATCGATAATCAATAGAAATCAAAATCAATCTTTGAATATATGTTCATCGATTAATCTCATATGGAAGACGAAGTGATATGTGAATCAATCGCTAATCTATGCTTCGTCATGAGTTAGATAAAAACTATATTTCTTGCATGATGATTTTGTTCAATTTTTTTCTTTTCTTTTCGGAAAAAGGTACCCCTAGTTTTGGTTTACTCAAATGGTGCCTCCAATTTTCAGTAAAATCGAAAAAAGTCTTATTAGTTTCGGAGACACCCTATAAATCAGTCCATTAGTGGATGGATCCTTGAGTGTTTTTATTTGACTCATTACAGTATTTTTCGATCGTATTACAATATTTTTTTAGGCACTCAAAATATTATAAAACTATTAAAGAATATTGCAAATGATATTCTTTTTAGTTGTTAGGCATGCAGTTAGTTTGATTGAGGTTCAGAGTCCGTTTAGATTATTTACAGTATTTTTATTGTAATGAGCCAAATTTTGATCATTATTTGGGTAATGTTATTCTTAAACAACTATAAATATCTGTTTCATTCATTTATGGTGTATCAAATAATTTTTAGTATGTTTTGATTTCATTTTACTCTTTTTTTTTTTTTGTTGAGTGTTGAAAAGTACTATAAAGTTATTAAAAAAATATTATAATTGATATCATATTGTGTCTCTTTAATTATCATTGCTCATATACCATTATTATATCGAGTTTTTAAGGCTTCAAATTGGTTTGGTTGAGGATATGAGTCAATTTTATATATTTATAATATTTTCGAGTACACTTTATAATATTCTTATTTGTGGTGGGTATAACAAATCAATTGATGAAGGTATTTTCTATATTACTTAAAACAAGGGATATCATTTGAAAAAAAAAAAGAAACATAAGTGAGTATTAATATCAAATAATAATATAAAGAAAAAATTGATACTCAATGGATATTTGTTTTTTATAAATCTTATTTATGACATATATTTTCTTTTTAAAAATGATATTAGATTTTTTCACATAAGATGATCACAGGATGTAGATGACATTATTATTTTTAGAACTTTTAGTTTACATTATTATCTCAAATTTAATTTAGTGGAGAATATAATAATAGTAAAGTAACTATTGAATCTTGATAATGAAATTAATTGATATGTGTTTATATTTTAATCTGCATTTTGAGTGACGTGGGATGCTTCGATCAGGATGAGACAATTAAAGCAGAAAAAATCATGTTGGGTTGGAGGAACATGTTAGAAGATTGGATCGGTCGACGTGTCGACAAAAGGCTTCGGGCCGTAGATTCGGGCATCGGTTTAAGAAGAGCGGATATTGCGCCAAGAATATCGGAGTTGTAGAGTCAACTGGCTGATTAAGCAATAGGCCGCAAGAGACGACGATACGCTAAAGAATCGAACGAAACATCGATGAACCAATGACATGCCAGACAACTTGATTAATGCTTAGTATTAATTGTCTAGATCAAAGTGTGTTTTTACATGTGTAGGATTAACTACGATAGCAAGGCATGAAGCAAAATGAAGTCTCAAAGTTAAGGGCGCAATTACGTTGGGAGTTCGAGAGTTTGTCAGAAGTTCTGATGGAACCAGCCGAGAAGTCTCGGAGCTTGCCAAAGAAGCTCGTCGGAACTCGCCAAGAAGATCATCGTGAAGTACAAGAGTTCGCCGCCGGAAGAATAGACAATAGGAACTTGTTTTGCTTAACAAATGTCTTAGGATTTCGTAGTTAGCACGTAATTAGGCTTGGATTTGGACCAACCCAATTAGGGGGCCAACTAAGCCCATGTAAGAACTGTCTTGGGCCCAATAAGAAACCCAAACAGCGCCTCAAGAATTCTCACCGTTGTGACATAATCTTCGAGACTATGTCAGGTGGTGGTACCACCCAGCACTGCCCCCTAGGCGGTGGTATCGCCCAAGATAGTGTCAGCGTCGACTGACACTAGGCGGTGGTACTGCCCAACGCAGGCGGTGGTACCACTTGTGCCCGGGGAACCCGGGATGGGAAAGTTTTAGGCTCCAAGTTTGAATCAACTTAAAGCTTATAAATACCCATTTCATCCTTGGTTAAAACACACAAGCACAGAGAGATTAAAAGAGAGAAAACACTGTTGGGATCATAAGTGTATTCCCTTCTCTAGCTTCAACTTAGATTTCTGTTTAGAGAGGAGAGTGAGTACTTGTAAGGGTTATCTCCTAAACCTGGTAAAAAGAGAAGAGGGGTGTAAAAGGTGATTGGCCTTTGCCTATTGAATGAAGGCCTCTAGTGGACGCTGGTGACCTCGTCGGAGGAGAAAGCTGAAAGTGGTTTGCATTTCATTCATGCTATTACCTTACTGTAAACTTCCTTAAGTGCTTACTGCATTCAATTCATTACGTACGCTTTCAAGTTAAGTTTCCGAAATCGATTTTTCGTCGGAAATGATTTTATCGCAACAAAATTTTTGAAGATGTGATTTTTACCACTGCACTAATTTAACCCCCCGCCCTCTGAAGATATGATTTTTACCACTGCACTAATTTAACCCCCCCTCCCCCTCTTAGTGCCGACCCCAACTCTTGATCCTAACACTAACGAATCTTATGAAATTAATTTAGAGCATAGTCTCTATAACTTATGATTTAGAAATAGTTGAGATCTAAGGAAAATAGATTACAAGAGTAATAATGAATGAAAATAGATTTTGACCAATTTTCTCGTAACTTAAAAAAAATGATTTCCAAGGTGGAACAAATTGAGGTACTCGTCAAATCAATATAAATCCAACAAAATAAAATGGTTTATAGATCATACTAAGAATTCTAAACCATACGAGGTCTTTCTATGAATGGATGATTAGCTATATTGTGCTTATTCTATTAAGATTGTGCATATTATGTTAATAATTGTTAAAAGATATAATCAAATTTATGATATTATTTAAAAATATTCATATTTTATTTTTTTTAATCGACATTCCCTCTTTTACTTTTTTTTCCAAACAATGTTCCTAATTTGAAAATTACTCAAATTTTTCCTC